TTAAGAGGCATTTGTGTTTCCACTCACTTTTGAGAGCTTCTTCCTACCTCCCTCATGGAAGGAGCATTCTTTGAGTAATGGGCTGGTCCCCAAAGAATGGAAGACTTGTGGACTAAAGTCACCCCAGCTAACTCATATACTACAGCCTGAAACAGATTATCTCCCGACAACCAGCTGGTGCATGAGCAAGAAACAGCACTTTTTATTATAAATTGCTGAGATTTTTATTGAGAAAGCCATACTTCTATTTGAGGGTAATCCTTCCACTTAAATCCCCTGTCATCCTCTCTGCTTTTATCAATTATCTTTTTGTTTTCTAGTTTCAATGTCCTTCTTTCCTTTGGGTCAATCTTCTCAGCATAGTAATAAACTCAGTTGTATTCCATATTAAAAAACAAAACAAAAATCTTGCCATGGTTCCTTTCCTGTTCTAGCTACTACCTTATCCCTTTCTTTTTGCTTTTCATGACCAAAATCCTCCTTTCTATACTCAATGTCTCACCTTCCTCACCTCCAATCATTTCCCAACTGTTGCATCTGGAGTCCACCATTCCAGCAAAATAATTTCTTGTGCAAGTTACCAATAATTCTTGAATGCCAATTTCTATGGCATTTGAAATTTGCCAATTTCATTAGGTGCTTTTCAGTTCTTATTTTGTCTTTCTGTTGCATTTGATGCTTTTGGCCTCTTCCATCTTAAAACTATGGTTGACCCTTGAACAATGCTGGGATTAGGGGAGCCTCCCCACCAAGCAGTTGAAATTCTATATATGACTTGACTCCTCAAAAACTTAACTACTAATAGCCTACTGTTGATCAGAAGGAGTGTTATTGATAACCTAGTCAATTAACACATATTTCGGGGATGCCTGGGTGGCTCAGTTGATCAAGCGTCCTGGGATAGAGTATATATCAGGCTCCTTGCTTGGCGGGGAGCCTGCTTCTCCCTCTGCCTCTCTGCCTGTCACTCCTCCTGCTTGTGCTCTCTCTCTCTCTCTCTGACAAATAAATAAATAAAATCTTAAAAAAAAATGAACACGTATTTTGTATGTTCTATGTATTATGTATTGTGTTCTTACAATGAAGTAAGCTGGCGAGTAGAAAGTGTTATCAAGAAAATCGTAAGGAAGAGAAAGTACTTTTATAGTACTGTACTGTATTTACCCCCCAAAAATCCGTGTATAAATGGATCTGTGCAGTCCAGACCTGTGTTGCTTCAGAGTCAACTGCATTTGATTTCCCATACTCTATATTACCGCTCTTGCGTTCTCGTCCTATCTCTCTGGTAGTTTCTTCTCAGTCTGTGCTCTCCTCTTCCTCTTTTGGAATGTGCATATTATTCAGGATTCCATCCTTGGCCCATTTCTGTTTTATACGGAGTTGCGACTTTCTCTAACACCTATGTGCTTGTTGTCAGCCACTCACACCTCCCTCTTCCCCAAGTCCCAGACCTGCGTCTACAACTACTACCTGAACATCCTTAACTGGATAGCTTTCAGGCAACTAAAATTCAATATGCTAAGGATTGAACTCTTGACCTTTCCCTAAAGACCTGCATGTTTCTACTTCTGTATTTCCTTCATCAGCTTGGCTGCCCAAACTAAAATGGGGGATTTATCTTACTCCTTCCTCCTACCTCTCCTCCCCACACCCAGTCACCAGGTCCTACTGATGTCATCTCCATGTAGCTTTTGCATCTGTCCTCTCCTATCTCCACGCCATTATCTGCATCCTATCATTCATCATCTGAAGTACTGTTGTTATTTCCTTATTGATCTCCTTTTCTCTACCAGGGCCATCCTCCACATCATCCTGTGTCTTAGTTCCTAAGGAGAATGCATGAAAAGATATCGGGACATATTGGTGTAACTCAAGGATACAGCCATTTGTTTAAAGGATGGTGTAGTTGAAGGAGAACTCCAGTCTGTTCTCTGGAAGGCTCAGAGTCAGGAGACATCAGTTTGTCTTTCAGACTGTCAACTTGGAATGTGGAAGCTGCTGAAAAGACTTATACATTTCAGTTGTAAAATTAAGAGCAGTAGCTAGGGTTTGAGAAAAACACACCAGAGAGTATTATTTTCCTTCCCTCTCCTTTTCTTTTCTTTCTCTCTTTTTTATTTTATTTATTTACTTGAGAGAGAAAGCACAAGCAGAGGGAGCAGCAGAGAGAGAGAGAGAGGGAGAAGCCTCGAATCGTGGGGCTCGATTCAGGACCCTGGGATCAGAGCTGAGCTGAAGGCAGACACTTAACTGACTGAGCCACCCAGGCGCCCCCTTTCTTTCTTTTTTATTTTTTTAAAGACTGTATTTATTTGTTTATTTTTCAGAGAGAGAGAGAGAGAGAAACAGAGAGTGAGCTGAAGCAGGGGGAGGGGCAGAGGGAGAAGCAGACTCCCCGCTGAGCAGGGAAACCGATGCAGGACTGGGACTCGATCCCAGGACCCAGGGATCATGACCCGAGCCGAAGGCAGATGCTTAACCAACTGAGCCACCCAGGTGTCCCTCTTTCTTTTTTAAAATTGTTTTGTCTTAAGTGGCAAAAGAGCATAGGGAGTCAAAAGTAACAGTATGAAGATAAGGGAGATCATATCGAGAAATCATTCTGTAGTTAATAAAGCTTGTCCAAAACCATAATAGGCAAGATTAGTGGTAGGACAGAGGATGCTGAAGAATCAGAAAATTAATCTTGTTCTGTTGTAATGGGCATAAGCTATCCATTTCTGTGTCTGCAGCTTCTGGAGAATTCCCAAGAATCTTCAGTTTGAGGTCTTCCAATGAATTAGACATCCAGTATCCCAGAAAAAAAATGATGCATGTATTTTTAGTTGGGTAACATGAATCCAAGGATCAATGCCTTTGGAGTTTCACTGTTGGTTTGTTGTTAACCATGCCTGATGAGGTTTTTCCACTGAGGATCAATGGAAATTTTTTTCTGATGCTTTTTCAGAAGTCCGAATCTCTAGATTTCCGATCACGCAGAAGCTGCTTAGGTGGGTGCTTTGGAAATGCTTCGTTGCTTTATTGTTGATAAAACAGGAGTTATAGTGTGGGTCCTTTGCAGTAATTAGTCATATCAACTTGTATTAAGGTGGAATCTAGTATTGGAAAGGATTCCCAAATACACAAGGGCACCTGTTATTAACTCAGAAGGAGATAACTTGTGGGTCTTAAAATAGATTGATGTCATTGCTATCAAGACAAATGGAACTACTTTGGGCCTTGGAAATTTGAGAGTTTCTGAGAGCTTCAATAATTAGTTTTTACAATTCCATTAGTTCCCTTTAATTTTCCTGAAATTTGTGGATGATAAGGATAGTGGAGTTTCTAAGTAAATGGTAAAGGTTTACAGAATTATTTAATAACAGTATCACTGAAATGTATGTACCTGTTACTGGAGAGGTACCTTGGGATTTCTCAAGTCAGGAATACAAAATCAAACAATTTTTTTCTATCATTACATCCATAGCTCTCCAGTAAGGAAAAGCCTCAACCTGTCATAAGAAGAGTCGTATTTGAATGTACTCAGTCCATTCAGAGGTGTTCGTAGGAGCCCTGAGGCTTTTGGCTCCAGTATACTTCTATCTTTATAGTTTTGCTAGAATTGGGTCATTGGCAGATAGGACATACCTCCTTGGCGATACCCCTAAAAATTACCCCACCAATGTTGGTTCGATATCATTGTCAATTTATCTTTGCTATTGTGGGTAGATACCATAAGAATTTTCACTGGACTCTAATTATGGCTATCTCCTTAGGTAATAGCAAAGCTTCTCAAGATTCTTTAATTTGCTATTCATTTTACAAGAGTTCCTGAAATAGTCAGGAAATCTCTCTTTCTAAAGCATTTCAAAGTCACTGACTAACCTAAAAATATATGTACTATCAGTACAAATACTTGCCCTTTATCCTTTATCAGCTGATAGGTCTGGGCCAGGGCAATTTACTGGATCTACAGAAGACTTGGGATGGCACTAACTCAGCCAGCCAATTACTAGGTAAGAGACTTTGGGCAAGTTATTTCTCTGAGCATTAGAGTTCTTCAAATATGAAATGGTAATAATACTCATCTCACAGAACTGTGAGCATTTAATGAGTTACTGCACAATAATCAATGAATAATACCTACCACCAAGTACTGCACGTTGGTTATCTGCTTTAATTATCACAACCATCCTATGTGATGGCCTCTTATCATTTTATAGAGGCTCAGTCACACAGCTTTAAGTGTCGATGTCGGGATTCAAACTTCTACTTTTTTCTGATACCAAGCGTCCGGTTCTTTTTTTTTTTTTTTTTTAAGATTTTATTTATTTATTTGACAGAGAGAGACACAGGGAGAGAGGGAACACAAGCAGGGGGAGTGGGAGAGGGAGAAGCAGGCCTCCCACGGAGCAGAGAGCCCGATGCGGGGCTCGATCCCAGGACGCTGGGATCATGACCAGAGCGGAAGGCAGACGCTTAACGACTGAGTCACCCAGGCGCCCCAAGCGTGGCGTTCTTAACCCCTCTACCGCCCCAGACATTTTTCACTGCTAGGTTCGAGTGCCCATCATACAGCCTGTCTGTCGCCCAGCAGGCACTCAACCTTTAAAAGTTAAGTTTGCAAGTTTGATTATCATGGGTTTGTTCTAGGGTCTGATCTCCCCTCGGTGCACGGGCAAAATTCAGCTTTGGCCTTGCTCAGTCGAAGACTAAATTCTCCCCTCCCTCGAGAGGAGCCCAGTCCGGGTTTATTGTGAGCTTTCAGCACTGTGAGCGAGATCCCAGCGAGTGACGAGGGTGACGCCCCTCCCTCGCCAGCCCCAGCCACACCTCTGGCCTCCGCGGGGCGTCCTTAGCAACGCGCGCTTTCATTCCCTGCCCCGCCCAGTTCGTTCCGCGCCGCGCCGGGCGCGAGGCGGTGGCGGTCTTTGCGCCTGCGCGCGGCCGCAACCGCCTGTCAGCTCTCCTCCCCGCCCCTCCCTCCCCCTTCCCCTCTCCCCCTCCTCCTCTGCCTCCTAGCGCGAGACACCAATATGGAGCCTGAAGAGCTACCGTGGCCCGGCGAGCTCGAGGAGGAGGAGGAGGAGGAGGAGGAGGAGGAGACGGAAGAGGCGGAGGAGCGGGCGAACCTGGACTCTGACGAGGTAGTGATGGTGGAGGAGGTGGAGGAGGAGGAGAGGCGGGAGCTGGATTCGGACTTTAACTACGAGAGCCAGCCTCGGGAGCGTACGGACGAAGAGGACGACGAGGAGGCCAAGGCCTGGCTGCAGGCGCACCCCGAAGGTGCTTTGCCTCCGTCGTCGCTCTCGAGGCACCGCTACTCGGAGGACGAGCGGACCGGCCTGGAGAAGGTGAGCCGGGCCGGGGAGAGATGGGGGGGCCGTCGGGCAGGGTGACGGGGCGTCTTCGCGCGCTCAGCCTGCTCTCTGCGCCGCTGCCTCCTGCTCGCTGCCGGTCGCGGTGCCGGACAAATAATAAGCGCGCTTTTAAAGGCTTGTAGGGGCCGTCTCGCGTCCTGGGCCTCCACTTTTTCCCAGGTTCTGGCTGACTACGCCAAGTCTCCCATTCTTTATGGCAAAGACCTCTCTTGTTCCCCGCTCTCTGTGGGTCCCGGGCCTTTTGAATTACACCAGCTGTTCCCAGAGTCCGTATTCCTAGCGGGTGTAGGTTAAGCCGGCTGGAGGGGAAAAGGGCGTTTGTAGGAGTGGAGAGAGTGGTTCTCCAGGGACTCTCTTGGGGAGACAGATTAGTATGCCTGAAGGGCAGGACTCTCCTTGAGGGACTGCTGTGGATTATGGACACTACATGATTAGTCTCCAGAGGCTCCTCACCTGTTTTACTTCTCCGGACCCTTGTTTGTAGCAATAAAGGGGAGTCCCCCGTAGGTAGCAGAAGGCTTATGCTGCAGCTCCAGTGTGGAAAACTAGAAAGTACAAGGTAGTACACAAGGGAGAAAGAGTTGATTTTATGGTCGGCTCCTGAAGACCATTTTGAAAATAACTACATTTAATTCATTAGCTTTTCAGGGAGGAAAAAAAAAAAAAGGTTTGCTGTTCAGTTTGAATATCAAATCATCAGACATTTATTAAGTTTCTGTTTTGTGCAGGGCACGTCGTAGGGACCAAAAGAAGCCTAGTGTTTATTGTCTAGGACTGCTCCATAGACAAGATATAAACTGTGCAGAGTGAACAAAGTACAAGTGAAAAGACAGAGAAGAGACTTTATAGACCTGTGCTGTTCAACACAGCCATCACTAGCCACATGTGGCTCTTTACATCTTATTTAGTTAAAATTAAATAAAATTAAAAATTCAGTGCCTCTGTTGTACTAACCACTTTTTAAGTGCTCAGTAGCCACACTTGACTAGTGGCATTATTGGACAGTGCAGATATAGAATAGTTCTATCATCACAGAAAGTTCTTTTGGACTTAAATCCTATGGACTGTTGATCATTAAAGAGTAATAGTTATTGTTTTGCCTGGTAAGTATTCTGTTGGGCACTTAATTCATTGAGCATTCACCATGGGCATTCACAGTGTCATGCTGGATGCTAAGGAATCTTGGTGAACCCAAACATTTTTTTTTAACCTCTGCCTTTCTAGTGTTCAGGTAAGAAGAAGGCAGACAAAATTTAGTTGGCCACATAAATAAGAGTAAAACTGATATGTGCTAATATACTTTGAAAGCATACGGTAAGGGAATCTGACCTTGTTAGCGAAGCTGGCGAAAGCTTCCCTGAGGAAGTTCTGATAGAGCTAAGGTCTGACGAAAAAGGTTAACTAGCCAAAGGGAAGAGAAAATCTCCCAGTTGAGGGAAAGGCACATGGAAAGGTGCTGTTGGAGAGAACATGGCATTTCCAGGGAACCAAAGGCCAATATGGATAAAGGCTTTATCTCTGGAGCTTTGGAACTGTTTAAATGGAATTGTTAAATTTGGGAAATGTTTAAAACATTTTCAATGATAAGATGTGTGTTTCAAAAAGACCACTTTGTAGCAGAGTGGAGAACAGCTTTGACAGCAGGATGGGGTGGGAAGTAGCAGTAAGTCAGGGATGCTAATTATTAAGCCACTGCAGCATTGCCAGGCAAAAGTTGATAATATTTTGGAACAGGAAAGTGTTGGTGGATATAGAAAAAAGTAGACTGATTCAAGAAATATTTAAGAGGTAGGGGCGCCTGGGTGGCTCAGTTGCTTAAGCGTTTGCCTTCAGCCCAGGTCATGATCTCCAGGTCCTGGCATTGAGCCTGGTGTCGGGGGAAATTCCTGCTTAGCAGGGAGTCTGCTTCTCTCTCCCTCCCTCCCTCCCCCTCTGCTCCTCCTCTCTGCTCATTCTCGTTCTCTCTAACAAATTAAAAATATATATATTTAAGAGGTGAAATCATCACATTTATACATTAATTTTACATTATTACTACACTAATGATTAAATGTGGAACATGAAGGCAACAGTGTGTCTGGGTGTTAGATTGTTCAATGAATGGTTGTGTCAAATACTGAGATATGGCCAGGTTAATGGTGGGAGCGATGAAGAGAGGGGCTGATGGGATTGGCTGAGATGAGTGTTAAGATTATAAGATTGGTTCTGGAGATAAGAGGAGAAGTCTAGGTTTGGAAATTTCAAGTTGTAAGTTATCTGCATATAGACCATAATTAAAGCCATGCTTATGGGTGAGGTCTCCTAACTTACTTTGTTCTATGACTTCTTGTTTAAATAACTATTAGTATTTTAAATTTACATCGCTAAGCCTAGAGGAAGAGCATATTAAGCCACTTTAACTTTTATTAGAGCCAATGTGAAAAATTATTATCCTATTTTTTTCCCCCTTGGTTAAATGATTTTATTTAAAAGGCACTTACCACAGGAAAACAGCACCATAATTCCACCTAATTGAACTCTAAATCTAAAATAAAGCAATGTAAGAGAAGGAATGATTCAAGACAAATGATCAAATCAAATAGTTTATTTATTTAAATTTATTTAAATTAAATTAATTAACATATAGTACATTATCAGTTTCAGAGGTATAGTTCAGTGATTCATCAGTCTTATATAACACCCAGTGCTCATTACATCACTGGCCCTCCGTAATATCCATCACCCAATTACCCTATCCCTTCACCTCCCTCCCCTCCAGCAACCCTCATTTTGTTTCCTATGATTAAGAATCTCTTACGGTTTGTCTCCCTATTATCCCATTTAACAGTAATCTATGTGTAATAAAAACCTTGCTTCTTAGAGCCCAGTGTTTTGTCCCCCCATAAGTGTGGTTTTTGTTTGTTTTGTTTTTGTTTTGTTTTTAAGAGAAATGAGATATATTTTCCCTGTTTACCTTGGAGAATACATGAAGGTGTTCTGTAGTAAAGATAGTTTTAAGATGATATAAAGAGTATTAAGATTTTTTTGCTTTAGTTCACTGACATTAAAATTTACTGGCATAAGTTGGAAAGTGTTTAAAGGAGAAATTTTAATATGTGTCTTTCTAGACATTTATGTACTATAAAATCTTATTTTTTTAAAGATTTCTCTATTAATTTGAGAGTGAGAGTGCATTTGAGAGAGAGAGGATGGAAGAGCGTGCTCACGCAAGTGCCTGGAGGGACAGAGGGAGAGGGAGAGAGTCTTAGACTCCACACTGAGCATGGAGCCTGACCTGGGGCTTGATCTCAGGATCCTGAGATCATGATCTGAGCTGAAACCAAGAGTCCTTCCATTGCTTAACCAACTGCACCATTTAAAGATAAGAGACTATGGACTCTGAGAAACAAACTAAGGGTTCTAGAGGGGAGTGGGGGTGGGAGGATGGGTTAGCCTGGTGATGGGTATTAAAGAGGGCACATTCTGCATGGAGCACTGGGTGTTATATGCAAACAATGAATCATGGAACACTGCATCAAACGCTAATGATGTAATGTATGGTGATTAACATAACATAATAAAAAAAAAAGATGAGTTTGTTGTGTAGTATTTAAGGCAGTGTATTAAAAGGATGAGACCAAATGATAGGAAACATTAATTTCATTCAGTCTAGTCTCAAGTTAAATGACAAAATAGTAAGAATTTGCTTCACTCATGTTATCTCTTACTAGATCATAAGGATGTACTAATGGTAACGTATAAGGTAGTGATTAAGTTTGTAGTACTGTTCCTGAGACTGAGCTAAGGCACGGGACTGAGTAAGTTCAGAGCAAAATGTGCCCAGCCTTACAACCAAGTCTTTTTAAGAGTTCAGGGAAGTGAGTGGTTCAGAGCCTTTACTGTGTTGGCCTTAACGCTGGTCCCTGCAGACCATTCAACATGGATCATTTCAAACACCTCTCCTTAAAATTCCTGAATTTAAATTTCTGAGCTGTGCTAGGGAAAATAATTTGGTTATGTGGATTGGTATTACCAGAAATTCTTGGTCTCCAACTTTTTCTTTCTTTTTTTTTTTTTTAAAGATTTTATTTATTTATTTATTTGAGAGAGAGAAAGCATGAGATGGGGGAGGGTCAGAGGGAGAAGCAGACTCCCCACTGAGCAGGGAGCCTGATGCGGGACTCAATCCTGGGACTCCAGGATCATGACCTGAGCCAAAGGCAGTCGCTTAACCAGCTGAGCCACCCAGGCACCCCTTTGGTCTCTAACTTTTAACTGTGTCATCAACAGTGTTTGGAAATCTTTGTATGTTTCTTCCTTCAGCTTCTTACACATCTTCACTCTTTTATCTTCTAGCCTTTGCGGGTGGTTCAACACCCTCCCATCAGGTTATCATTTCATAGAAGAAGAGAATACAGGCCTGAACCCCTTCTTCACCTTTCTACCCCATCTCCAAATTTGTCCACAGTGTATACTTTATCTTTTTTGAACTGTTAATACAAATTTTAGTCAATATTAAATCCTTTCTTGTTTTCCTAGGATAAAAACTATGCCGTAGTGTGTTTTTCTCTTACGGAATTGCTGGGTTTTAGTTGCAGATATTTTATAAATGATTATGGTTTTAAGTGTAAAAAAATTGTTTTCTTAACCTGTCTTTGTCAAATTTAGCATCAATATTATACCATTTTCATACAAAGTACTGGAAGGATTTTTATTTTTCTATGCCTTGAAACAGTTTGAGTAATGTAAGAATTTTTCTTGCATGTTTGAAAAATAATCACTAATGAAACTGCTTTGCCTTTGGGTTCCTTTTAGGGTTTGGTTTATATAGACTCACTTTTCTTGGTTAATTTTGGTCATTTATGATTTTTGTAGAAAATTATTTCAGCAAGAATTTCCTGTTAATTATAATGGGAGTGCTACACAGTATTCCTTACTTTTTCCATTGCATCTGTAGTTATTTCCATTTCTCATTCTTGATTTTATGTGATTAT